ACTTTAATCATTTTGAAAAGCGAAAAGAGACGAGAGCTGGCGAAATTTCTGGTAAGCAAAAAATAAAACAACCGACCATCTTGGACTTAAACATAAATTTATATATTGGTCCCATCATCCACCAACATGACTTTTTTGTACCAATTTTAATGGTTGCTTCCTTAGTATTTGTTATTTAACTTTTTTTTCAACATAATACAATGTAATAATAGCATTCAAGGGCATAACACATAATAAAATAAGGTGATTTGGTATGATTATCAACGAGATAGATATCTAACAGAGTCCAAATTAAGCAGATTTACATTTTGTAAGGAAATGCTAGTATAGGTCACTGTACGGCGTTTAAAAATGAGCAAAAAACATAATGTATAGTCAGCTATAAATGACCCTAACATGACCATGATGACAAAATGTGAAACACATTAAATGAAAACAAACCTACGACCTGATTTATGACAAAATGATAAACGAAAGAAAGTATATGACAGACAACATCCAAGAACATTTATCATGTATACTGGTAATGTGTTTAAGGTTCATAAAGAAAAGAATGCAATCATGTGGTCCACACTGTGTAACTCATGCATTTGTGTGTAATTGAATTGAACTTAAACAACATATTATGATCAATCCTATAAATTAAATTGATTAACCAAAATGTGATTATCAATTAGGTAAAACTATTTCTACCTAGAAAAGATATCATACAAGTTCCAAATGTTTCCTGTTGGCACCTCAAAACTTGATTTCACAAAAAATATTTTGTAAAAAGTTTTTGTCAAATCAAAATTTCATTTATTAAAACCAAAACAAACTTATAAGTCCATATTGAACTAAATTGTTAGCTTATCCTCCAAACCAAATATAAAGAGGGATTTTATTTCAAAAATATTCTTATCAAATCCTTTTACAGAACTAAAACAACATAATGGAAACTTGTTAGAAATATAAATTAAAATCAGGGTATGTGAACTTTTTAAAAATAGCCATGGACTTTGAATACGCAGTTAGTAGTAAGAAGGGAGAAGATAATGAGAACCCAGGACATAATGTAAAATGGCTTTACGAGGATTTTTATTAAAACAGTTCTTAAGATAAAAAAAAATAATACATGTATAATATTACGTTTTTAATTTTTGTTATTTTAATTCTTGACATGCAAGGAATCCATTTTGTTACTAGGAGGCCAAAGGTGTTGCTAATGAAATACAAATATTGTTTAATTTACTTATTTCATATTGACATGATTGTAGCTGACCTCTTGATTGTCAGATTTTGCACTGGACATTATTTTAATATGAAAAAAAAAACACAATTTCTAGTTTGTTCATTATGATTGCTAAGGAAACTTTTTGATTGCTACGTAATATTTTCCTGGAAAATATGGGATCACTTGACAACACTCTAATGTAACAAGCTTAAATAAATCATAACTACTCCATATATATGCATTAAGACTTTGATATTGAACAAATATGTTACAAGTTACAATTTCTTCTTCAGCTGTGTTGATATAGCGCTTACTTTATTGCTATGGTTACACATTGTTTGGGAAAAAAAACATGGACCTTTGATGAGATAATAAAGGTATGACCACTTCTTGTTCCATATTAGGTACTACCAGGTATGTGCTGTTCTGGTAATAGAAATTTTTTTAACTTGATTCCTGGCCTTATTTGCATTCTTTTTATATTATGGTCGCTGGAGACCATCGTACCCCAATATTTCTAGAATGAAATTGTATTTTATCAAAACAGCGGTTCTTAAAGAATATTTAATAGTTGTAAAAAAAACTTTAGTACAATGGAGAAATGCTGGATTTTATATCAGCAGATTTCATGAGACTGAAATAATAAAACAAACTGCGGGTTTTATGGTGACCCCAATTACTTGTTGCTTTTGGGAAAATCAAATGGTCCTGTTTTCATAGCAACCATATCTCAATGGTTTAAAAAGGTTTTTTTCTTTATAACATGTTAATCAGACGATTTAAGCATTTTTTTTTTTATCAAAATCTGAAACATTCCTGTGTTGGTATCTGCCTGATCCTTAGGCAAACTTGCACTTATGTACAGAATAGTGCATTTCCTATTAAACAAGCAAGCAATCCGACCTTATCTTCGCCATTTTCTGTATGTTTACAGTTGACAAGTATATTTTGAAACGTTCTTGTAATATTAGTAACAAGGATACAATTACATGAAAACATATAGGAACTCTGCAAACTTTAAAACATACATTTTTTATTATTTAATTCAATAATGTAAGAAAATAAACTTGTTCGACACGACAGGTTTAATTTGTTATTCAAACATTAATTTTGTTCTATACAAAAATGTATAGATTTTTAGAAGTCGTTTTGGTGTATTAAACGTTTTATGGCGTACAAGTTATGAAAAGTAGGTACACACACGCTATGGCGTACAAGTTATGAAAAGTAGGTACACAAATCTTATTTTTGTTATTTAATTCAATAATGTACGACAATAAAATTGTTCGACACGACATTAATTTTGTTCTATACAAAAATGTATAGATTTTAAGAAGTCGTTTTGGTGTACTACACATGTTATGGCGTACACGTTATGAAAAGTAGGTTCACAAATTCTAGGCCATTTTTTGTTGTATGTATTTACAGCAAGATTGTTTTGAAGGAAAAGGGAATCCTTGAAAAATATCTGTAATAAATCAGTAAGCTGGTTTCGTATTTCTTAATATCTGATTTTCTTTTCTTACGGTTTTTATCTTAGAATTGTGTGTAACAGTGCTATACTGGAGCATTGATTGCTATCTGTTCAATTTATTCACAACTTTTATAGAAACGAGCTTATATGGACATTTATATAAAATGCATCGACACCTATCAGCTTTCGAAGACTATGCTCCCCTCTAGATGTATTTTGTTTTGTTTGTTTGTTTGGTATTTTTTTTTTTTTTTTTTTGCTTCTGTCTCATTGATGTATATTAACCACTCCTTTCTCTCTGGTCAGTGCGTACGTACGTTTCGTATAAGGTTGCAGTTTTTTGTCAAAGTAGTTTACCGTAAAGTTGTAGCCCATTAACTTGAAACTTAATTCATATTTTCATTATGATGCGAAATATTTAAATTAAATGCTTAAATACGGTTTTGATACAAAAATTCAGATTGATATCAAATACAGTACACTTTCCTGAACAAATCTTGTTCGAAATAACTACTTGATTATTTATTACTTTGAATTATTATTTTTAGATATATAGTATTATTAAGGTGTGTGCAACACCATATATAGATAAAGGTTAACAAAATGATCGAACAAGATGAAATGATATGTAATGACAGATATTTCGTTACAACTAATATCCATCAATAGTGCCAGTCCTATTTCAAAATGTGTCACCACAGTGAGTTATTTACTGTTTTAAATGAGCACACTAATTCATACAAGTAATCTCATACTTTATCAAATATAAAAAAATCAGTTCTTAGCAAGCATGATTGCGTAATTCTTCATGCCCATACTTAAGTAGACATATACAGGTATCTTTGACATCCAAATACTGGCCATACAATCACTATTCGATTCGTTGTCTAGAAATATAGTCCCCAGTATGCACACAGCAATACTGGTAAATATATCCCAATATTCCTTCCCAATCCATGTGGAGATAAGATTGGTAAGGTGTATCCGATAAAATTTACAATATAAAAAATATAAAGATGCGGCAGAACTACCAATGAAACAGCCATCTACCAGAGACCAAACGACAAAGAAGGAATCAACTGTCGGTCATCGTACGGCCTTCAATAATGAGCGAAACCCATACCACATTTTAACTGTTTGACTGTCCCTCTGGTATCTTTCGTCCCTCTTTTAAGCCTTTCAAGGCCCAGAAAGGACATATGTGAAAAATCAAACGACGTGGAAGTAGCCAACTGTCAGTCATTGTACGGCTTTCAACAATGAGCGACACCCATACCGCATTTTAAGCCTTTCAAGACCCCGAAAGGACATAAAACGTGAAAACTAACGGCTTAATTTGAGTACAAAACAATAAATGAAAAACAGATATGATAAATAACAACATACGATATCCACTGAATTAAGAGCTCCTGACTTTCGACAAGTTCATACATAATGTGGCGGGGTTACACATGTTTGCTGGTGCCAAAACCTCCCCTTAACTTGGACAGTGATGTAACAGTACAGCATAAGAACAGTCTAAACAATAAACGAAAAACAGATATGATAAACAGCAACAAACGATAACCACTGACTTAAGGGCTCCTGACTTTCGACAAGCGCATACATAATGTGGCGGGTTTACACATGTTTGCTGGCGCCAAAACCTCCCCTTAACCTGGACAGTGGTGTAACAGTACAGCATAAGAACAGACTGTAAAAATCAGTTGAAAGGGATTAACTCATCAGATCGAATCAAAGCGCAAATCTAAAAAAAACACACAAAAGACACAACGAACAGACTTTAGAATACTGGCAGTTACTACATTTTTATATGATATCGCCATCGTTACACAAACTTTAACACTGAATTTTGTTTGGCTTTGCTTAAAATTTGTCCGATATGTTTTACATTTGCTGGTTGGTTGTTTTCTATAGACTCTTAGACATATATACAGTTGTTATTTGTGAGAGAGAAAAGAAAACAAATATATGATTATGTTGCTCCAAAACAATTTTTTCAATGTGTAAATACATAAAATTAAGTTACCTTGCATGCACTTAAAAACATTTTTTTTTTAAACATGCAAACTACATACCTTAAATGCTCGTTCAGTAAGACATGTTGTTTGACCCAAAAACACATCTTATTGGTTGACAAAATGTCAATTTTGATCGCAGCTGTTATTTGTCAACTTCGTATGACTTAACATAGTATAAATTAGTAAAATCAACATAATTGGTAGAACCACTGGTACATTCGAATCACCTTTTAAAGAGATATTCCAGCGGTCACTTGCAATTGTTTGACAAATATGAATGTATCATTTCTAGCAGTAGTTTGCGCTGCTGTTCTAGCGGATGTACTGGCTAGGTTAGATAATACAAATCAAGGTAAGAAAACTGTATGATCATGAAAAAAAATTTCGAATAAAAAAGGAATATAAGTTTAAAAATCTAAGAATAAGAAATATTGAATCTTATTTCTCCAACTGAATTTTTGTATGTTCAATTTCAAAGTTATATCAAAATCTGACAGAAATTGAACCGTATGCATGCTTAATTTAAAGTCATAGATTGAAATTAAGATCTCATTAACAGAAAGTTTACACTAAAGTATTTACCTTAAGGTTTGTTACTTGTGCGTAGAAATAAATTGTTAAAGAATAAATATATTTTCGACTATGAACATCATTCTTTTTCTTAGTGTTAAGTATTCTTATTTTAAAAGTTGCAAAAATCAGATGTAAGAAATCTTTATTTAAATAAATTTAAGTATTTCTCATATAAAGGAACTTGAATTTCTGGTACTATACTTAACCTGTTGTGCAAATAGTTTAATGTTTTATTTCCAACATGGTAAACATTAATACGAAGTCAGTACCTTGAGTTTAAAAAAAAACATTTAAGAAGGAAATTGCCGTCAATACATGTAATCTTCAACAGAGCATAAGACAGTTAACTTTATTCTATAGGTTTGTTTTATATTTCAAACGTACGGCCCCTTTCGACTTGTTTTGTTGTCTTTTATTTTTGTACAATCAGTAAAGATTTTGTAATATACTGTTATCAAATCAATTATGAACACTTTGACACTAAAAGACGTCAAACAGAAGCACTTTATAAATTGTATGCATTTCTGGATTTATTATCGTTAGGAACCCTCACGCATAACAGAAGTAGGCTTCAGGGAGCACCAAATTAATGCTGAGGGGAATTTTGCAAATTTGATCTGGGTAGACTAGTTATTTCCAAAAGTTTAATTGAGAGTATATTAATTTTAAATCTGATTCGACAATGTCGACACGATATCGAATCAATGTCAATGAACTTGTACACTAATGACATAACAAGAAGTCGACTAGATATTAAAACGATATTTATGATGATTATATATGTATCACCAGCCCAGAAGTTAGCACTTCTGTGTTGACATGAATTATCATTAATATGGTCATAATTATAAATTAACTGTTTACATAACTTTTAATTTTTGAAATACTAAGGATTTTCTACCTCAGGAATAGATTACCTTAGCTGTATTTGGCAAAACATTTAGGAATGTATGGTCCTCAATGCTCTTCAACTTCGTACTTTATTTGGCCTTTTTAACTTTTTCTGATTCGAGCCTCACTGATGAGTCTTTTGTAGACAAAACGCGCGTCTGGCGCAAAAACAAAATTTCAATCCTGGTATCTATGATGAGTTTATATAAAGATTGATATTGGGTGAGATGATAGCTGATTTGTAATCAATCAAGTTGTCAACTCTCCAAATTAAAAGCTGTTCATTTGGTTGTATAACGTTGACATAGTAATTAAGGTGATAATTAAATGAAACATGGCTACATACAAAGACTGTTAAAATAAGCCACAAACATGACTTACTATGTAAGATTTAAATCCAGTGGATGTGAACTTTTTCATTATCAGAATAGGGAAAACATGCTTTATTTATTCGTTTCAATTACATTTTAAATTGATTTGAATTGTTCGAGGTTTCTTAGATCGGTACTTTGAGATGTCTGTCTGTTTGTTGTTGTTCCTTGTGCCGATCTGATAGCGCACGCTATTTCCAACTGTGTTTTACGTTTTGTATTTATGTATAAACGCTTCACCACCATCCGAGATTAAAAGAAAGGGGTTAGCGCTCATAAATATGTTTTACATCGCCAAACCCTCAATGTGACTAATCTGGAACTGTTTAATTCAGTGGTTGTCGTCGGTCGGTGTCTGCAATATTTGATTTCCGTTAATCGTTTATCATTTATACATAAATCAGATTATTTTTTTTTTCCATTTGAAATATTTGACATTTTGTCATGCCAGTATTAGTGCTAGTCTTTGTTGAAGACTGTACGATGACCTATAGTTGTAAACATTCTTATTTTTTACGTGTGGTTTGTTCTCTGATTTGAAATTGTAGACATCTCCTTATCTTAACGTTTGAATAAGGTACATACACTGAACTAAATGAAAAAAAATTATGACAAAATATTGATATGAAAATGATATCGACATTTTAAACATACGAACCATGGAAAACTCAATTGACTTTAAATTAGATAATTGTAGTAGATAGACATTTGAATTATAAGTTTTCGATATCGACTTGATGTCGTCGATGTCGTCAAAATCGACAACTGTATCAAATAAATAGAGTGGGTTTTTTTTAAGCTGCTAAATTGCAAAATTTAATGAAGAACATATACTAAACTAAATGAAATGAATAACCAACATCTTGGAATCGATATCGATAGCTTCAATAGATAAAAAAAAACTAGCTTGTCTTTATGGACTAATGTAGTATCAGTTTAACATTTTAAATATCAAATAGGAATCGACAGTTGAATAAGAAGAAACGTGCCAGGTATAAAATTTGGCTGTCAACATCATTCAATATCGACGGCCGATGTTGTGTTTGCTGCGACACATGTAGTGAAAGGCACATACTGATATCGATGCTAAATCGTCGATGTCGTAAATATCGATACCATATAGTGTCTTAGAAATACATACCTGAAAATGTTGTATACAACTTTGACTCATTGAGCTATAATTAAAAATCGAAAAAAAACGATGCATTCATCTCTTTTTTCCCTGAAATACAGGACCACCAGGACCACCAGGACCACCAGGACCAAAAGGACCAATAGGATCATTAGGAAAACCAGGACCTAACGGAAAAGATGGTATTTATCAACATTCGTGTGTGTCAAAAGCAATCTGGTGAAAATTTATCGTATGTGCTTGCTTAAACACATATAAATCATTCGCATTTTTGTATTCACAATATTTCAAAATCTTTGAAATATTGCAAACAACTCATTTTTATAATTTCTTAAATAACATGTTTGCATATCTGTTCAATTTTAAAGTCTTGTATATATGTGTTCTTGCATATTGTGAGAAACAAAGAATAATATTCGATTAACAAACTTTAAGTCATAGAATTTCAAAAAAAAATAATTTTGATATCATAATAATGATGGCATTGCATCTTCTCTATCTTCCAGGATCAAAGGGGTCTAAAGGAATGGAAGGTATGTTTGCAAATCAACGTTCAACTTACCTTAAAGTATTTCCATCATTATAAGCAGTTACTTCATTTTTCAATTCCTTGAACCCCTTTTAGCTTGTCAGTTCATTTTGCACACAACATATGAATATTTTTCAAAAATATTGAAAGAAATTATACTCTCTTGAAATCCGATTGTCTCAAAACATTTGGAATATTATTAACATCTCATCTTGTTTACTTGTTTAAATAACATGTTTAAATATCTGTTTAATTTTCTAGACTCGAATATGTTTTCTTTCACATCGTAAAAAACAAAGAATAAGTTACACTGCAAACATTTTTCACATAGAAACATTTTATAGTTTTCAAAAAAAATAGTATTTGATATCATAATAATAAAGGAATTTTATCTTCTCTATCTTTCAGAAGCCATTGTAGCTTTTATTCATTTTTTTCAATTCTTTCTACTCAGTTTAGCTTGTCTGTTCAATTTGCAAACACTATATAGATATTTTTCGTAAATACTGAGAGAGAAAAAATATGACACCTTCCGAAATACTGTAACAAAAGAAAATTCTACTTGTAAACAGTTTGTCTCATTTTGAAAATATTTGAAACAGTGCTAACACATCATCTTTTATATTCCGTTAATAACATTTAAGCATATCTGTCCAATGTTAAAGTCACATATAGATGTTTTAAAATATGTCGAGGGAAGCGCAGACAGCGGTACTCGTCAAACCACTTTTAGTAGTATCAAACACAGGTTGATAAACAAACAAAATATACGATAGTATTATTATTAGTATATTGATGGCATTATTATTTTTATCTCTATCTTCCAGGAAAACCAGGAAATAATGGACTAGATGGTATGTATCAACATTTTGTATGTCAATTGCACCCATGTTTGCTAGTATCCTATTAGATTGCAAATACACATTCAAAATCATTTGAATTTGAACAAATCACTTAAAATGTACAATTGCAATTTATCATTAGATTTATTTCAAAACATTGGAAATATTGCTAACAACTCGTCATTCCTTAAGTAACATGTTTGCATATCTTTTCGATTTACAGTAGGGTATAAATTTTGTCTAGCGTATTGTAAAAAACCAAGAATACAAAACACTTCACACCTCTTTTACTTAGAGAAATTCTACATTTTTAAAAAATGAAAAATATTTCATATCATAATAATGATTTGATTCTATCTTCTCTATCTTCAAGGACTACAAGGATATAAAGGAATGCGAGGTATGTATCATCATTTGTGTATATCAACTGCATTGTGTTTACATTTCATCTCAGTTGTTTTCTAAAACACATATATATATACAGATTTAACATTGTTGTGCTGATATTTAGAACAATTATGAATATAATATGTGTTTTCAGCCGTGTATCACCTTCACTGGTGATCAAATGGATGGATCTGTCGTAGAGTTTTCATTTGTTTAGAAGTACTTATAGATATAATTACTCTAAATATGAGCACAACAATGTTAAATCTGCAAATTTGCGGAAATAAATTTTTGTTCTTCCCTCACCTGGATTCGAACTCATGTTTTTGAGATATCGAGACAACACCGCCTGCACTATGTCCAGCGCTCTAGACCACTCGGCCACCTAGAAATCAGCTTTTGGTGGCCTAGTTTTACCTTTCCTCGTCAGTAGAATCTAGAGTTCTAACACAGAACATGATATATTTGAAGATGGAATTGATCATTTTAAAAGGAAATGTTAATTAAAGTTGCAAACAAACGTCAAACTCACTTAAAAGTATTGGCAAACATTCTAATTCATATTTGAATTTTTTTAACTTAACTAAGCTTGTCTGTTCGAGTTGCATATACCATACAGATATTTTTCTAAAATACTGGGAGAAAAGAAGAATATACCAACTCTCAAACCACTACAACAAATGGGAATTATATCCTATTGAAATAAGATTGTCTTATTGTAAAACAATGATACATTGCTAACAAAGCATAGTGATCAATTCCTTAAATAACATGTTCTCCTATCTGTTAAATTTTCCAGCCGGGTCTAAAGGCTTTCTTGCACATCGTAAAAAAACAAGAATACATTGTACTTCAAACCGCTTCAACTTAGAGAAATTTCAAAAGGCAATGTAAGTTAAAATTCCAAACTCACTTTACAAGAATTGGAGACATTATTATCAATTTATTTATTTTATTCAAATCTTTCTACTCAATTTAGCATGTCTTTTGAATTTGCAATCATATATACATATTTTTCTAAAATATTGGGAGAAAAAAAACCATGACACCTACTAAAACACTGTAATAATAAAATGAATAAGCCATTCTACTTTTAAGCAGTTTTTCTCATTTAAAAACATTTAAAACATTGCTTACAAATCATCTTATATATTCCGTTAATAACATTTGAGCATGTCTTGTTCAATGTTTAAGCTACATAATGATCTTTTGAAAAATGTTGAGAGAAGCGCGGAAAACGGTTCTCGTCAAACAACTTTTGGTAGTATCAAAAATATGTTAGTAAATATTCAAAAATATATGATAGTATTATTATAAGTATATTGGTGGCATTATCTTTTTTATCTCCATCTTCCGGGAAAACCAGGAACAAATGGACTAGATGGTATGAATTAAAATTTTGTATGTCAATTGCACCCATATTTGTTAGTATCTTATTAGATTGCAACTGCACATTCAAAATCATTTAAATTTGAACAAATCACTTAAAATGTACAATTGCAATTTATCATTAGATTTATTTCAAAACATTGGAAATATTGCTAACAACTCGTCATTCCTTAAGTAACATGTTTGCATATCTGTTCGATTATCCAGTAGGATATATATGTTGTCTAGCATATTGTGAAAAACCAGAAATACAAAACACTTCACACCTCTTTTACTTAGAAAAATTCTACAGTTTTAAAAAACTAAAATTTTTCGTATCATAATAATGATTTTATTTTATCTTCTCTTCCAGGACCACCAGGGTCTAAAGGAATGCGAGGTATGTATCAGTATTTGTGTATGTAAACTGCATTTTGTTTATATTTCATCTCAGTTATTTTATAAAACACATCTATCAATATATATATATATATATATATATATATCAGTCTAAATTGAAAACAACTTTCAAACCTATGATTGCGTTGGATAAAAACAGCAATTTTTATACGTGTGCATGCAAAACAAATTTCTTCGTAGAGGGGTCTATATACAACACAAACAACATTTTCCAAAAGACCAAAAAAGTGAAAAAGTATATTCTAACAAAACGCATTTAACTAGCAGGTCGAACAACTGATGTTATTAAACCCTGCTGACTGCCATTGGCGACTGACAAATAAACGGATCACCAGATGTAACAAAATGGATCTTATAATAATTCATTACCAAACAGAAAACAATAAACTTGCGGAAAAGATGGTATATCGCAAAGATGAGGTGCAAAAATTTGTACACCATATCCGGATTTCGACAATTAATATCTCTTCAGTGATGTTAGGAATCGAAACGGTATTTGAAAGGCCATATAATTTACCTCAATTTAGGATAAACTCTTGAATTTTTAAAGAGTCGAAATAGGATTAACGGATCATATAAACCCAAAGGCAAATATAATACAAGACCAAACGAAAAAATATAAACATGTCTAAATTGAAAACAACGTTCAAACCTATGATTGCGTTGGATAAAAACCTCCATTTGTATACGTGTGCATGCTAAACAAATTTCTTGGTAGAGGGGTCTAAATACAGCACAAACAACATTTTCCAAAAGACCAAAAAAGTGAAAAAATATATTCTCACAAAACGCATTTGGCTAGCAGGTCGAACAACTGATGTTCTAAAACCCTGCTGACTGCCATGGGCGATTTCCATATAAACGGATCACCAGATGTAACAAAATGGATATTATAATAATTTATTACCAACAGAAAACAATAAACTTACGGAAAAGATGGTATACCGCAAACATGAGGTGCAAAAATGTGTACACCATATCCGGATTTCGACAATTAATGTCTCTTATATATATATATATATATATCATTTTAAAAGAAAATGTTAATTAAAGTTGCAAACAAACGTTTCACTCACTTAAAAGTATTTGAACCATTATTAGCATCTCTATCACTTTTGATTTTTTTAACTCAACTTAGCTTGTCTGTTAGAGTTGCATATACCATATAAATATTTTTCTAAAATATTGGGAGAACAGAATAATATGACAACTGTCAAACCACTACAACAAATGGGAATTCTGATCTATTGAACTAATATTGTCTTATTCTAAAACATTTGATACATTGCTAACAAAGCATGCTTCTAAATTCCTTAAATCAAGTTTTCCAGCCGGGTCTGTAGGCTTTCTTGCACATCGTAAAAATAAACAAGAATACATTGCTCGGTTTCTTGGTGTAACAATGTAACAAGCATATTTGGTGAATAAATATATAATGTCGTTAAAAAAAAAAAAAAAAAAAAAAAAAAAAGAATACATTGCTCTTCAAACCTCTTCAACTTAGAAAATTTCTATAGTTTTCAAAAAGGAAAATATTTGAAATCATATAATTGATGGAATTCCATCTTTTCTTTCTCTCAGGATCACCAGGAAAACAAGGTATGTATCTAAATATGTGTATGTCAACTGTATTCTGTTTAAATTTTATCATTTTCGTTTGCTAAAGAATATATAACTTATTTCAAAAGGACATGTTAGTTAAAATTGCAAACTCACTTTACAAGAATTAGAGCCATTATTAGCAATTTATTCAGATTTTCAATTCCTTCTATACAACTTAGCTTGTCTGTTCAATTTGCAATCACTATATAGATATTTTTCTATATTATTGGGAGAAAAAAATCATGGCACCTACTAAAACACTGTAACAATTACATTTATAAGACATACTACTTGTAAGCAGTTTGTCTCATTTTAAAACATTAAAAACATTGCTTACAAATCATCTTTTATATTCCGTTAATAACTATTCAGCATTTCTGTTCAATGTTCAAGCTCCATATAGATGTTTTAAAACATTTTTGAGAGAAGCGAAGGAAACGGTACTCGTCAAACCGCTATTCCTAACATCAAAAATAGGTTGGTAAAGCAAACAAAATATTTGATAGTATTATGATTAGTATACTTATTGCATTATATTATCTCTATCTTCCAGGAGATCCAGGAAATAATGGAATAAATGGTATGTATCAACATTTGTGTATTGCAATTTTGCCCTGTTTGTGCATTATAATTTTTTGTTTATTGAAAATGCACGTCTGAAATCATCCGAGATTGACCAACTCACTTAAAATTGCATTTTATCATATATATCATTTCAAAACATTTGAAACATTGTTAATAATTAATTCGTCTTTTTAATTCCTTAAATAACATGTTTGCAAATCTGTTCGATTATCCAGCCGGGTAAATATGTTGTATAGCATATTGTGAAAAACCAGGAATACATAATACTTCAAATCTCTCTCCCTTAGAGGAATTCTACAGTTTTCAAAACGAAAACTATTTGATATCATAATGATGGCATTCTTTCTTCTGTATCTTCTAGGAAATCCAGGAGCTAAAGGAAAGCCAGGTATGTAACAACATTTGTATATGTCAACTGCATTTTATTTACATTTCATCTCAGTTGCATTCTGAAACACATATATATCTTTTTAAAAGTAAATGTTAGTTTAAGTTGCAAAAAAACGTTCAGGTCACTTTACAAGAATCATCATTAGCAATTTATTAATTTTAATTCCTTCAACTCATTTTAGGGCATCTGTTCAATCTTCATACCACTTATAGATAAAATAGACACATGCCAAACCATTGTACCAAATAGAAATTATACCTTTTTGAAAACAGATTGTTTTAGCACTATATTTATAAAATTCGATTTTCCCTAACTTTCAGGATCACCAGGAGCAGCTGGTATGTATACATTCGATTTTCTTTAACTTTCAGGACCACCAGGAGCAGCTGGTATGTATACAAATTCTTGTTTGTTAATTGTACTCTGTTTCCACAATATCTCAAAAGCCTTTAAATGCCTATTCAAAGGTATGTGAGATTGCACTATTACTTACAATTACACAACTCATCTTTTTAATTCCTTAAATAACAGTTTTCCATATATCTGTTCAATTCTTAATCCACTTTAAATGTTTTGTTGCATATTGTGGAAAATTATGAATACGGTACTCTTCAAACAACTATCACTTATAACATTATTCAAATTCTTCAAAAACAAATATATTTGATTCTTTTATAATGAAGGCATCTTTTCTATTTTTCAGGACCATCTGGACCTACAGGACCAGTTGGTATGTATTACCATTGGTGTATCTTTATCATTTTGATTGCAATTGATCTAATAATTTGCCTATTAAAGCACAGAATTTTTTTTTTTTTGAAATTTGAATCAAACTTTCCACTCACTTAAAAATATTTTTACCATTAATAAAAATTCACCTTTTCTTTCAAATCCTTAAACAACATTTTAGTATGTCTGTTAAATTAAACAGCCACACATAAATGTTTTTATTCGCCCGTCAAAATTTTTGACGGGACGCATTATGGTATACAAATGTCCGGCGTCCGTCTGTCTGTCTGTCTGTCTGTCCGTCTGTCTGTCCGTCTGTCAGGCGTCCACATGTCGCACCGTAACTTGAGAACGACTTATCTAAATGTCATGAAACTTAACATAGTCGTTTCTTATGATGGTTAAACGATCTGTATACTTATTGGTGAAAATAAGAATAAAAGTTTTTGAGTTACGGGACTTTGAAACTAAAACAGGGGGTGTTTTTTTACATGTCGCGCCGTATCTCAAAAACGATTTATGATTATTGCTTAAAACTTTACACACTTCTTAGTTGTATTAATCTAAAGATCTGTATACTTTTTAGTGATGATTCAAAATTTTATTTTAGAGTTATTGATTTTTTTATAAAAAAAAAGGGGGGTTTTCACATGTCGCGCCGTATCTCAGAAACGATTTATGATTATTGCATAAAACGTCACACACAAGACGACGGGCGTATCATGCGCTCGTGGCGCAGCTCTTTATTAAAATATTCTGGGAGAAACAGTATTCGTCAAACCACTTTAAAAAATATCAATGCTAGATTCTTAAAAAAAGGAAAAAATTTCTTTGATAGTATTATAATTATGGCATTTTATATTAACTATCTTTCAGGACTATCAGGACCTCAAGGAATGACTGGTATGCATCAACATTTGTTTATGTTGATTGTATTCTAATTTACTTGCTAAGACACATGTAAATAATCTAAAATAACAATTAAGCATTTCTGCGTACTCAATGTTCAAGTCACACATAGATGTTTGCAAACATATGGCGAGAAACGAAGACAATGTTACTTAAAACCACTTTAACTTTTTTTGAAGGAACATATTTTAATTTACCAGTGATTGAAAATTGAAATCTTATGTTATCGGACACTGTAATTATCGTGTTAAAATTACATAATTCGTCATACACGGCTTATCAAAAAGTAAACTAACAAAAAATACCGAACTCCAATGAAAATCAAAAACGGAAAGTCCTCTATCAAATTGGAAAATCAAAAGCTCAAACACATCAAAAGAATGGAAAACAACTGTCATATTTCTGACTTGGTACCGGCATTTCCTTATGTAGAAAATGGTGGATTAAACCTGATTTTTATAGCTAGCTAAACATCTCACTATCAAGTTGAATGTTAATTGTTGAAATGTAAATGAATCGAATACGTATTCCTATACATTACAAAATCGTCATCTTATCACTTGAAATCCTAAAATCGTATTAAACTGATTCATATTAAACTTTGAAAATACAAGTCTCTTATGGTATCTTGATATACGTCATGTACATTTGGACGTATTAGAAGTAATAAAAGTTCTACAACATCATTAGAAATATAATGAGAGAAAATAAATATTTTTTAATTGTTTTAATTGTTTTATCTTTTTGATGAGTTGTGAATGACATATTGTATGGAATCGTATTGTATTTA